GATCTCCCCCTGGGACCCTCCAGGACCCCCCAGACCCCCTCAGGACCCCCTGGGACCCTCCAGGACCCCTCAGGACCCCCCCAGGACCCCTCCAGACCCCTCCCAGACCCCTCCCAGGACCCCCTGGGACCCTCCAGGACCCCCCCAGGACCCCCCAGCCCCCCGGCTGACCCGCAGGTGGGGGGGCAGGGGGTCCCCCCTCAGCACGAAGTATTTGAGGAGGGTCCCGCGGAGCCAGAGCGGGAACGGCCCCTCCACGAACACCGGGCGGGCGGGGCCGTGCCGGGCCAGCAGCTCCCGCTGCTCGGGGCTCTGGCAGCCTGGGGACAGACGGACAGACAGCTGGGGACACACGGACACAGGGCCAGCAGCTCCCGCTGCTCGGGGCTCTGGCAGCCTGGGGGGACAGACAGACAGACAGCTGGGGACACACGGACACGGGGCCGTGCCGGGCCAGCAGCTCCCGCTGCTCAGGGCTCTGGCAGCCTGGGGACAGACGGACAGACAGCTGGGGACACACGGACACAGGGCCGTGCAGGGCCAGCAGCTCCCGCTGCTCGGGGCTCTGGCAGCCTGGGGACAGACAGACAGACAGACAAGGGACAGGGGGACATCATGGGGACAGCAGCTCCCGCTGCTCGGGGCTCTGGCAGCCTGGGGACAGACGGACAGGGGGACACAGGACACAGGGCCGACAGGGCCAGCAGCTCCCGCTGCTCGGGGCTCTGGCAGCCTGGGGGGACAGACGGACAGAGGGACACAGGGACATCATGGCGACACGAGGACATGCAGACAGGGGGACACAGGACACAGGGACAGTGGGACAGGGGGACAGTGGGGACAGCCGACCCCAACCCCAGAGACACCAAACCCCTCATAGAGACCCCCAAGGGACCCCAAAACCCCCCGCGCCTCCAGCGCCGCCAGCGCCGCCTCCACCAGCGCCAGGCGCCCGCCGCGCCCCGGGGGGGCCTGTGCCAGCTGCTGCAGTGCTGCTGTGAACGCGGCCCCGGGGTCGCCGGGGTCACCGCCGGGGTCACTGGTGTCACTGGTGTCACCGGGGTCACCGGGGTCACCGCGGCCGCGCTTGTGCTGCGAGCGGTACCAGCGGAGGTGGCGCACAGGGGCCTTGGGGGTGGCACCCCCTGAGGTGGCACCCCCTGAGGTGTCACCCCCTGAGGTGGCATCTCCTGAGGTGTCACCCCTTGCAGTGTCACCCCTTGGAGTGTCACCCCTTGGAGTGTCACCCCACGGGGTGGCATTCCTTGAGGTGGCACCTCCTGAAGTGTCACCCCCCGAGGTGTCACCCCTTGAGGAATCATCCCTCGAGGTGTCTCCTTCTAAAGTGGCACCCCACAAGGTGTCACCCCACGAGGTGTCACCCTTTGAAGTGGCACCCCCTGAGGTGTCACCCCTTGAGGAATCATCCCTCGAAGCGTCTCCTTCTAAAGTGCCACCCCTTGCGGTGTCACCCCCCGAGGTGGCACCCCCGGAGGTGGCATTCCTTGGAGTGCCACCCCTTGCGGTGTCCCCCCCCGAGGTGTCACCCCTTGCAGTGTCAGCTCCTGAGGTGTCACCCCTTGCAGTGTCACCCCACGGGGTGGCATCTCCTGAGGTGCCACCCCTTGAGGAATCATCCCTCGAGGTGTCTCCTTCTAAAATGGCACCCCACAAGGTGTCACCCCCTGAGGTGGCACCCCCGGAGGTGGCACCCCCGGAGGTGGCATTCCTTGGAGTGCCACCCCTTGCGGTGTCCCCCCCCGAGGTGGCACTCCCTGCGGTGTCCCCCCCCTCCTCGGGGTCGCGGTTCCGGGCCCTGCCGGGTTTCGGGGTCCCCTCGCTGGGGACGCGCGCGGGGCGCTGGCACAGGCTGCGGCAGAGCTGGGGGACAGAGGGGGTCACGACACGGCTGTCCCCGTGTCCCTCTGTCCCCGTGTCCCTCTGTCCCCCTGTCCCTCTGTCCTCTGTCCCCCTGTCCCTCTGTCCCCCGCACCTCGTGCGCTCCGGGGCCGCCCCAGAGGCGGCGGGGCAGGGCGCGGACCCACTCCAGCCGCATGGCGGGGTCCCGGTGTCCCGGTGTCTCTGTGTTTCGGTGTCCCGGTCTCGGGGGTGTTTCGGTGTCCCGCTGTCCCGCTGTCCCGGTGTCCCGGTGTCCCTCACGGTCGGGCCCCGCCGTCCCCGGCCCCGGTCGCTCCGCTGGGCGCCGCCATCTTGGCCCTGACCACGCGCGCCCGCGTCAGGGGGCGGGGCCTGCCGAGCGCAGCCAATCGCCGCTCGGCGCCTCCCGGCGGCCGCGCTGATTGGCCGGGCGGCGAGGGGCGGGGCTCGGAGGGGGATCCCCCGTGACGTCAGAGCGGCGCCCCGTAACGAGCTCGGGGACGGGCGGTGACGTCACGGGGGGTGAACCGTGACGTCCCTCTGTGTCCCCCCC